ATTTCTAAGATAATACTACGAAACTCAGCATGTCAAGCGAATTGAAGATCATCGAAAGCACCCTAAAACTCGCAATGAATAATAGAGCATCTACCAATCTTCTTGTTGAAGCTTCTTATGCAAGCACCATCCTCATCCTTAATAAGTCTGCAATAGCAAACGAAATTGATACCAGCACAATAAGCACCATCATTGTTCACCTTCCACCATCCATTGAGAGGTTTCTGCTAAGCTACAAGCTCTTAGACCTGTGTGTCATACCTGAAAAAAAAAAAATCATATTATTAATTATAAAAGTATAACTAGTCATGAGAGATACATCATTAACAAGCTCATCGATGTTGCTCTCATTCTCTTGGAAAATAAATATATTTATATGGTTCCACAAACTCTGACAAATAAGGTCAAAAGTCACTCTTCAATCCTCAAATGTCTTGCACCAGGGCCATTTATTTTTGAGGTTCAATACGAACTACTCATTAACAGTACTACAAAAGAACGTTGAATGAGTTTCAGCAGATATGATCTTCAACCACAGCAGTTTAATCACGCTGCAATTATGGAGGACATGATCCACATCCTCAATAGCATCGCCACACCTATTACAATACGCAGTAGATGACATGTAACATCGATATATCTCATAATTCGTCAAGAGCTTTCCCTCAACAGCCAATCAGATGATTGTACGCACCTATTGAGCACTTGGCCAACGCCAAATATCTCTCCAATTTCTATCCTCCAAGTGCTAATGATCACTCTCCAGGGGGGCGTAAGCCGAGCTAACCGATAAACACTTAGAGCTCGTCATACCCCAAAAGTAAAAGTTTAAGATATTGTCATCTATAGTGGTTGGTACTGCAACCATATGGAGCAGTGTGCTCATCGGCAACACCTGGTGCAGGATTTCTAAATTCCATTGGCCGGACAAAATCACGGAGTCCCTGAGACATCTATGGAGATGATGCTCATCAATAGATACGAATACTATTAGTTTAAATACACAAATAATTTATATATTTTAAAAATTGACCTAATTTAGATTTTTCTTAATTAAAAAAAATAAAAATTTAAAATTATTAAATAAAAATAGTTAAATAATACTACTCAGTGCATCAGACCTGCGGTTTTGAAAAAGAGCACCAAACGGAAAGTGAAGTTAAACAAAACCGTGGACATGTATGTAAAGTGAGTTTCAAAACCAGGGCTTCAGTAAAAACACACACCACGGTAACGACCACAGTTTATTCTAATACCAACAAAACCTAATATCTGATCCGACGGTTCTTATTAATTTCATCTCAACCGTCTTCTCTTTATATACCACATTCACTCTCTTCTTTCTATCAAAACCTTCTCCTGTTCTATCTTGTCGTCTCTAGCTTGATTCCTCTCTTAGATCTACGAGCTTCTGGCCATGGATACCATCGTCTCCGTCAAGGCAAGGCAAATCTTCGACAGCCGTGGCAATCCCACCGTCGAGGTTTGTTTTTATTCTTATCTATCGTTTTCGATATTTTCTATGTTATCGATCTGTTTGTTAAGTGTTCCGGAAAATGGTATCCCGGATCTTTTTCCGACTATCGTGATCCAGTTTATGATCGACGTTACTGTTGAGTACTGTGATTAGCGTTTGATTCGAGATTAGTAGCTTTCTCTGTTGAATCATTTTCTGGATTAGTTAACTGCTGTTGTTAATACTGCGAAACTCGTCATGTTGTTAATCTGATGTTTCAGGATTCTAATTCTTATTATATGTTTTGACTGTTGTTCGAGTACTTAAAACAAGGATTTTGGTGAATTTTTTTTCCGTTTTCTCTCGTTGATTTTAGGTACTTTTTCTTCTGCATGCTCACAGCTATTGCGTTACTCCTTTTCTTCGATTTTTTCATCGGGTTATAAAATGAATCAAATGGTTGT